CTGTACTGGGATACAATCTCAACAATGATAGAATGATTTGAATACAAATCCAAGGCAGACCTTTCAAAATCACAGTCATCCAAGTTTATGCACCAACCACCAATGCTGAAGAGGCTGAAATTGACCAATTCTATGAAGACTTACAACACCTTCTAGAACTGACACCAAGGAGAGATGTTTTTCTCATTATAGGGGACTGGAATGCAAAAGTAGGGAGTCAAGAGATAAACGGAACAACAGGTAAGTTTGGCCTTGGAGTTCAAAATGAAGCAGGGCAAAAGCTAATAGAGTTTTGTCAAGAGAACACACTGGTCATCACAAACAATCTTTTCCAACAACACAAGAGGTGACTACACATGGACATCACCAGATGGGCAATACCAAAATCAGATTGATTATATTCTCTGCAGCCAAAAATGGAGAAGCTCTATAAAGTAAGCAAAAACAAGACATGGAGCTGATTGTGGCTCTAATCATCAGCTTCTTATAGCAAAATTTAAGCTTAAACTGAAGAAAGTAGGAAAAACCACTGGGCTAGTCAGGTATAATCTAAACCAAACCCCTTATGAATACACAATGGAAGTGAAGAACAGATTTAAGGAAATAGATTTGGTGGACAGAGTGCCTGAAGAACTATGGATGGAGGCTTCTCACACTGTACAGGAGGCAGCAACAAAAACCATCCCAAAGAAAAGGAAATGCAAGAAAGGAAAGTGGCTGTCCAACGAGGCCTTAGAAATAGCAGAGAGGAGAAGGGAAACAAATTATACCAGAAAAATCTGGAGGTCCCAGACAAGCCAGATAGTGTGGTTGCTGACCTTGAGTCAGACATCCTGAAGAGTGAAATCAAGTGGGCCTTAGAAAGTATGGCTAACAACAAAGCAAGTGGAGGTGATGGCATTCCAGTTGAACTCTTTAAAATCTTAAAAAATGATGCTGTTAAGATGCTACACTCAATATGCCAGCAATTTTTAAAAACTCAGCAGTGGCCAGAGGATTGGGAAAAAAATCAGTCTACATCGTAATCCCAAAGAAGGGCAGTGCCAAATAATGCTCCAACTACCATATAAATGCACTCATTTCACACACTAGCAAGGTTATGCTCAAAATCCTACAAGGTAGTCTTCAGCAGTATGTGGACCAAGAACTGCCAGAAGTACAAGCTGGATTTCAAAGGGGCAGAGGAAAAAGAGACCAAATTGCTAACATGTGCTGGATTATAGAGAAAGTCAAAGAGTTCCAGAAAAAACATCTACTTCTGCTTCATTGACTACACAAAAGGCTTTGACTGTGTGGACCACAGCAAACTATGACAAGTCCTTAAAGAAATGGGAGTGCCTGAACACCTTATCTATCTCCTGAGAAATCTATATGTGGGATAGGAAGCAACAGTTAGAACTGGATATGGAACAACTGATTTCAGAATTGGGAAAGGAGTACGACAAGGCTGTATAGTGTCCCCCGGCTTATTAAACTTATATGCAGAATATATCATGGGAAAGTCCGGACTGGAGGAATCCCAAGCCGGAATTAAGATTGCTGGAAGAAATATCAACAACCTCAGATATGCAGATGATACCACTCTGATGGCAGAAAGTGAGGAGGAATTGAAGAACCTCTTAATGAGGGTGGAGAGTGCAATAAATGGTCTGAAGCTCAACATTAAAAAAAACCTTAAGATCAAGGCCACTGGTCCCATCTCCTCTTGGCAAATAGAAGGGGAAGATATGGAGACAGTGAGAGATTTTACTTTCTTGAGCTCCATGATCACTGCAGATCGTGACAGCAGGTATGAAATTAAAAGATGCCTGCTTCTTGGGAGGAAAGTGATGACAAACCTAGACAGCATGTTGAAAGGCTGAGACATTACCTTGCCGACAAAGGTCTGCATAGTCAAAGCTATGTTTTTCCCTGTAGTGATGTATGGAAGTGAGAGCTGGACCATAAAGCGGACTGACTGCTAAAGAAGTGATGCTTTTGAATTGTGGTGCTGGAGGAGACTCTTGAGAGTGCCCTGGACTGCAAGGAGATCAGACCTATCTGTTCTGAAGGAAATCAACCCAGAGTGTTCACTAGAAGGATAGATCCTGAAGCTGAGGCTCCAATACTTTGGCCATCTCATGAGAAAACTCCCTGGAATAGACCTTGATGTTGTGAAAGTGTGAAGGCAAGAGAAGAAGGGGAGAACAGAGGATGAGATGGTTGGACAGTGTCTTCGAAGCAACCAACATGAATTTGACCAAAATCCAGGAGGCAGTGGAGGACAGGAGGTTCATGGGCTCATGTGCTCTGGTTCATGGGGTCACGAAGAGTTGGACATGACTTAATGGCTAAACAACAACAATTAGAAGAGACTCCAAGGATCATTGGGTCCAGTTCCTTGGTCATTCAGGAAATCCACACCTTAAATATTGGGTGAATGCATTCAGGTGAATGCAATTTTTTTGAATGAAATTATAGAATTAAACAGGCAATTAATTACTTTGTCCCGTATGGACAGAAACAGGGAGATTGTTGATTGTGGGTAGATTTTTAACATGCAGCCCAAAGGGAAAACACTAATCAATTTTGCAGTCCACCCTACAGCTAAAAAAAATAATAAAAATCATGACACTGTTCTATGTAGTATTATTGAACAGTGCCTGAAAAGTAACATTTTCTGCCTATGATTGTTTGATATGCCAACCAAAAATTCTCCCAATATATGTCATTCAGATTACAGATCAGCGGATTTAGCTGCTTCACTCAAATTCCCCATCATCCTCAAACCAGTACTCATTTGGTTTACAAAAGACTCATGCTCCACTGAGCTGCCTAAAGTGACATATACAGTGGTCCCTCCGACTTATGAACTTAATCTGTATTGTACCAATGTCCGTAACTCGAAACGTTTATAAATCGAAGCACCATTTCCCGCAGGAATACAGTGAAAACCGATTAATCTGTTCTGGCCGAAGAAAAAAATAGCCAAAAAATAATGTTTAAAACCCACTGCAAGCCCCATAGGAACGTGCTGGGGCTGCAAAAAACAACAACAACAAAACAAAACAAAAAAACCCAAACAAAAACAAAAACAAAACAAAACCCAGGAGAGAAAGGGATCCTCAAAGACTGGCCGAAGTGAACAGGGCCAGGGCCAGAGACCTGGCCGGGAAGTGCTCACCTGCCTCACCGCCTGCCTCCTCCTGCTCCTCCGGAGAACCCTCAGCAGCCACAGCTCTAACCACTGCCCAGAGGAAAAAAATCTCAAAAAAACAGACACTAGAGCCACCTCCATTGCTGAGATTTAAGAAGGAAAAAAAACTTCAAAAATACAGACGCACACACACACGCTCACTCTGAAGCAGAGCAAAGACACAAAACCTTCCTGCAGACACATGCACACACTCACTCCAAAGCAGAGCCACCAAAACCCACTCAGAATAGTTTTTAAGGAGAAAACAGCAGCTTACCTCCCTGCAGACAGACACACAGGCTCACTCCAAAGTAGGAGGCTCTCCCAAGCCTACAACTGCGACACGCCCTATAACTGATGAAAGAGCTACAGCACAAAGAAGCAGACTCGTCACCACCTACAGTTAAAAAGTTGAATTGCCCGCCTTTTTTCCCTGCCTGTTTCTGTTCATAAGTGGAAGCTCGGTTCGCAAGTCGAAGCAAAAAGTTGCAGCTGGAGCTGTTCGTAAGTTGAAATGTTCATAAGTAGGGACGTTCGTAAGTCGAGGTACCACTGTACTTCAGTTTAGCCACAGGAGAGTATCCCTCTGCCATATTTGGTCACAGTGTGCAAAAGTATGTGGTGCTTATTAATGGATACATTTTCAATTTTATAAACATGTCTGTGCCATCGAATAGACAGACCAGCTTTTGGTAACATTTCCTTTTGTGAGTTTTAAGAGGTTATGGCTCTCTTTTTTTAAAAAGAGGCTCATGTACTGCAAGTAAAACAAGAAAAAATATTCCTCACAACGATCCAAGCTCACTTTTTCAGATGTCTTACTATTGCCCACACTTTTATCTCTCTCTCTATCCTCCATCTTAACCTCAAGGCCCAGTGATCCTAATGGCCAGCCCTCATCTTTCCCCTGCCATCTCATTACTGAACAATGCAGATTAATAACATTATGTTCTAAAAAGGCTAAGGGAACATTCCCATAACATTTAGCATTATTATTATTATTATTATTATTATTATTCCATCAGTATCAATATAGGAACCAGGCAAAGGCACTTAAGACTGGCTAAAAAGAAAGTGCTAATCCTGAAACAGAAAAGAAACACATTTCCTTGCATACATTGTGTATGATTAAATGAAATTGGAGTTACTGAACTTAGATTAACACTAGTATGCTGTCCTTTTCCCTTGGAGTAAGGTGTCCTACAGTCAGGAGGGCTTACTCCCAGGAACGTCAGTGTTCTGACAGTGTCTAAGGAATTTACTTGCATAGGTGGCATATAAAAAGTATAAATACATCAATCCATGCATTTGTCTTAAAAGTTATTTGGCCAAATAGTATTTTTTAAAAACATTTGTTTTATATAAAGCAGTTTTGAAATGGGTAATTTGCTGTAAGAAACTGGGCTGATTAGTTCACTTTTTCCCAGTTTACCACATGACTAACACTTTGTTCACCTGCATAATTAATGAATTATTTGCCTGCGAGGGAAAGCCATCACCCATGTTTGGGAAACTGTAATATGACTCCTAGATGTAAGTTACAAATTTGAGAAAAGTAGGCTGCTAGATTCATTCTGTTTGTACAACTGAATAATTTTACAAGCTCCCATTGTACTGAAGGTAAAGTTATTCTCCCAGTGTTTGGAATTCATAAAGCCACATTGTATGACACAATATACAGTATCTGTGGCAACATTACTGGATTTCTAACGAAGCTGTTCTTCTGTACAAGCCACCATTTTAATAACTGCAAGTCCTCCCATTTTTACCACCTTTGTTAATGTTTTTTTCAAATTGCTTTACAACAAAATCACAAACTTCTTACCTTGCTTTCCTGCCACTGAATTCAAATTTTCTGAGAAAACTGTATGTTTCCTTTGGTGTTGCAACATATTTTTCACACACACACCCAAATCATGAAAATATAGGCATGTCAAATGTGTGCAAAATCCTTCCAAAAACAGAGAAACGTATCTTACTGTTAAATAGCAGACTTCTCCAGTCTTATTTGGAATTCACTTCCTAAGTTTTGCAACTGTCTTTTTCAGCTAAATAAACTCCCACTCATTGCCTTGAACACCAGCCAGCCACTCTAATTTAAAGCAACTGTCAACTTTGCTATAAAACTTGGAGAAGACGTCCTTGTGCATAAGAGAGAGGCATGATATTAGCTTTGCTCCCAGACTGCAGTAATTTGCCACTCAAGCTGCAGTCTCATGCCTATCGAGTCCCATGAACTCAATGGGACTTGTTTCTGCATACAAGATTACATTGAAAATCTAGGAGTCACAATACAATATTTAATAATCCAACTTGTTTCCATTTGTGCAAAGAATAGAAATACCCTATTCTTGGTGAAGTTTGAAACAGGGAATCAGAGCCCCGAGGCATTGATTCATAACAGAGTAAGTCAGTCATAAGTAGAATTGTGACAGGGGATTTTTTTTACTATAAGTCCCAGAATCCCCAAGCCTCTTTTAACCACTCAGACAATTTTGTCCTCCCCTCACTTCTTTTAGAAAAGCTTTGGGAGATACTACATAATAACAGCAGGATTTCAGCAAGTAAATGAACGTCTTAGATAAATAACAGATCAGATGAAAGAGACGACATTAGATGTCAAACAGTTAAATGAAACTTCACTAGCTCCAGTATTTCTTTTATTGAGTATGATATCAGGCAATATAGATGAGATAAAGAGTTACCCAGTGATCTATATAGCTACTACAGTCAGAAAGCTTTATGCTAAAAATTGGAAGAAAGCAGAGATACCAAATCTAGAGGAACTTATTGAGAAGATATGTGAAGCGGCAAAAATGGATATTCTTTTAGACGTGTTCAAAGACTGTCCAATTCAAAAGGAAGCTGAACGATGGGATTTATTATACAAATGGCTTCAGTCTCCAGATAGTGTTGGAGTAACATAGATTTAAACTAAGATGTAATTGTAAGTTGAAAGCTGGAGGGTAATTAAATTGTAAAAAAGCAGAAAGTTGATTTGTTATTGTAAGATGAATAGATTGGATGATTGTATACTTTGTGTTCTCCTACCCCCAACCCTTTTTCTTTCTCTCTACTTTCCCCCTATTTGTATTTCCTGCCTTATT